AAGAAGAAAAGCCTTGAGAAGTCCATGAAAAAGGAGGAGCGTATGGCAACCTCTGAAATGAAGAAGTTGCAGATAAAGGAGGAGAATTTCTTATGGCAACCTCTGAAATGAAGAAGTTGCAGATAAAGGAGGAGAAGAAATCCACTCGCGAGGCAAGCATTACCTTGAACTTCAAGACCACCAAGGCCATGCAGGCGGTCACGTTGATGGCTAAGGACACCATAGCGGACCTACGAAGTGCAATCGGCGCCAAGTTCATGTTTGGGCCTCGAAAATTAGAGTAGGTTTATGGAGTCTATTCTTACGATGATGAATAATGCGCCCTACGACTTAAGAATAGTATTCGTAACTATTCCAGCGTCCGCCGTACTTACTTGACCCTTGCAGTTATCCTATGTTACCCATGCAATAGCCGCCGTCCTGAAACCCTTCGAAACAGAACCGTTGACGGAACCCTAGTCTAATTATCATGAAGGCTTCTACAGTACTTGGGGGGGGGCCTAAACCCTAAACCCCAAAAAGTAGTTCCGCCTTGGCAGATGCCGGCGGTCCCGCAGTTCATCAAGTGCTGTACGGAGAGCTGGATGTCGATGCCTGCCGGGAGTGTGTACAAAAAGGAGCCCCAGTAGTTGGAAGAGAAGAGGGATTTAAGTTTGGGGTATTTTACACCATGGACATACTCGTGATGGTGACTTTTTCGGCCCCAAAATCTCATGGCCGGCCCGGCATGATGAGTTTTCTGAATCAGTGGCCTACGCAAACCCTAAACCCTAAACCCAACTTTCAGAACATCCCCCAAATGCATTGCTGCGCCGCAGTCCTCGGGCTCAGGACTTGTAGCTAACGGTATGGAGATGGGGTGTCCACACCTTTAGCCACATAAGCCTTAAAACTCTCGTAGGCCCTAAACTAAACCTTTAAATCCCGAGGCCGTGAAGCTTCGGCCCTTCGACCCTACATTTCGAACACGGAACCCTAAGCCCCGTGTCAGGCTCCGGTCCTTCGGCTTTTCGAGCGATCTTGATGCGGTCCGCCAGCGCGGACATGCTGCCCTGCCCAAGGTTTCACAACTCTCAGAAAGGTCGAAGCCGTGAACTCTCGCTGCTTAAAGACCCTGACGGTAATTGAAGGTCCAGGACAATCACTCGTGACAATGGCATTCTAGTGCCCATGCTTATTATACATATACTACAACCTACCCCAAGACCCTATTCTAATGAAGGCTATATATCCGATTTTAACCCTCGCCCCTCGCAAGGCCCGAATCAAGGCTTGCGTGGCCCCCCTTAGAGAAGTGCCTGAGCCCAGCATGAGCCGCAGTACTGCGGGATGTGCTGGTTCACGGAAACGGTGCAGTAGCTCTTGCCATCCTGGAACGGGCCAACAGCTAAATCTGAAGCCGGAGGCTGAAACTTCCATGCTGTCTTCCATGCCAGCGGCAAGGAGCCCTACACCCTGAACCTCTAAAGAGAGAGAGAGAGAGAGAGCGCACCCGAACACTTAAGCAGTCACAAGGAACTGCTTATCTTCCACTCGAAACTCGAACGCCCTGCTTGCGAGACCAAGGCTTACTACCGCAAAACCCAAAACCCCAAAACTCTGCAAGCTCCAAACCTTACGCGAACATAAACCCCAAATCCCTACAAACCGTCAACCTCCCGCCGAAAGCCTTGTCGCACCAGGAAAAGGTTTCCGGGAAGCCGTTGGAAGGTGTGAAGAGAAGCCTAAGAGAACAGTTTTGCTTTATGTGTTCTTTGGGCTCTACAAGGTTTCTAAGGAGGCTTCCAAAAGGGTTGTATGATATAGGGGTCTTAGAACTCAGAGTATGGTTCTGGGTGGGCAATGTCTATACTGTAGTTATAGGAAACTCTCTCTAAAGGAATTATCAGGCTTCCATGTTAAGTTGCGACCTTCTGTCGAGGGCTAGGGCTTGAGTGTGCAGGTTCAGGGTGCTTGGCTCGAGGGTGTTAGGTTTTCTGTAAGGTTGAGGCGCTTTGGGTGGTTGACAATGCAAAGGGCTTGCATGGTATGTCCATAAATAAATAAATGCATGCATGCATGCAGATCCTAATCCCCATTTGTGGCTGATGCTTACTGTACTTGCTTGGCCCTAACAGCAGGGTCTTCGCAGAATCGTGTTTCATTCTATAAGGATATTTTGATTCATGAGATCCACAAGGATATATACAAAAGCTCCTTCATCCGCAGCACTTACTGGCTTCCCCGGATTTTTTCTTCGTGGTATGAAACCCCCAAATGTGCCTTAGCGCCCAGACCACGTTGCGTACTTTAACGTCCGCCTCAGTGTAGGTAACCCCCCCAAACTCTAGAGCGTCCAAGAAATTCATTCGAAACACTCGTGCGAAGAAGGAGTTGACGAGTTCCCACGCCACTGGAATCCTCTGTCTGGAAGCAAGGCAACCCGAATAGGCCTTTGTGGATTGAGGTTTGCAGGGCATTTGTTGGGTTCGAGCTTGGATTTCGTGTTTGGGGCTTGGGGTTTGAGGGCTTGGTTTGAGGGCTCGAGGACTTGAGTGAAGTTCAGGTTTTGCTCTGCCTTTTGGCTTCCACAGGCTCTTAGATAGACGATAAAAAAACATGGCGGCACAGGCCCTGAACAGTTAAATTTTAAAGGTCCATTGCAACTCAGCCAGGCCGTCCTCTTCGCTCGACCTCGTCACGCTTCCAGAGCTCTGACTTTCGTGTCGCTGGAGCGGCCGCGGTGGATTCGTCTGCAATGAGCTTTCAGGAACAAGGCTTGCGGGGTTGAGGGACTAGGGTTTGGGATGGGTACTGTCTGAGTTGCCCGGTGTAGGGCACGACGGTGTCTCAATGCGAGAAAAGTCCAGCAGCGCAGACGGCAATGAACTCTAAAGGCCCTGCAATCCAACACCCTAAACGGTGAAGAAGGCTTGTAGGAGAGCATGGAGGTGAGACCTGCATCGAAAAGCTGCACAACTTTCTGATTACCTAAGGTCCGTGCACTTTGGTGCCCCTCAGCCGGCCCCTTGTGCCCCTCGCATTCAACAGTCAAGGTTTAGGGGCTTGAGGTTTTAGGGTATATCTGAGGGTCACTGGAGGTGTGGCCTATCAGGCTCGGGTGTGCGCAGAACCGAGACGCGGCTAATTTGTCAGCCCAATTTGGGTCACATGCTCAGAAATCCGAACCTACATCAAACCATGGAGCGTTTCACTGAAACCCTAAGCCTCAAGAATTGAAAACCGGATCACCAGAGCCGGTGCGCCTAAAGATGCAACAAAACATCCCGCTAAACCCGTCAAGCAAAGCCCGATAAACCCTGCAGTCTAAACCCTCAAGCAAACCCTAAGCTGCCCCTGAACCCAAGACCTTGCTGAAAGGATCCCTGTGGACTCAATAAGCCGGCCGCAAGTAAGCTTCTAAGCAGAGTTTATCTTCCCTCAAACTCGAACCCTACAAACCCTAAATTCCCCAAATGCGAGTACACACCCATCACGACCCAACCCTAAACCCTAAACCCCTAAACCCGCCTTTCGCTGAGACCTTGCAGTTCTCGCCTCCCTCGTAGCAATGGATCTCATTGTTCTTCTCCGGCGCGGTGTACCTTTCAAGTGCCCGATTGTCTGAGAATCATAGTGCAGTAGTCGGATGGGGGAGTTTGGGCCTTCAATGTTAAAGACTTTCGGGGAGCCCTCTGTCACCCCGTTCCGTTCGTGCTCTAAAACCTACACCGACGTTCAGGATCGCACTGCGTTTCCCCAAACAGCACGATAAATTCCACAAGATCAGACAAGACAGTATACAGACAGGCACACATGCATCCACGCATCCCGGCTGCATGATCACACTCCTCTGCCTAATCATCATGAAAGTGATGCGAAGTCCAAGGATGTAGATCGGGTTTTGGCTGCCGGAGGCTGAAGGATTATATCTATAAGCCCGAAATTCCAGAAAGATGATCGTCCCTGACTCGAAGACCGGTCTCTGCAATCTCCAAACCGCGGGAACATCCACGGTTGAGCTTATGATGGATTCAAGCTCATGGGGTAGGGTCTCGGGTTGGAGTTTACATGGTTAGGCAGTCCAGACACCCACGGATTTGATCCATTGGACCATGAAAGACAGGCTCTGCTGCCTAAGGCGCGTGTCGGGCACTGCCCACGTGCAGCTGCGCTCCAGCGCCAAAGCACCACTCTTGACGCGCACGTATCCGTTCTCACCCCAGTACCTCAGAGGAAATCACCAGGGATCACGAGCGAACCGTTCTGATGAAACTAGGACTGTAGACTCTCAGAATAGAAGTCTAGAACCAGTAAGTGTTGCAGGCTCCAGTAGACAGGAACATACTTCTGTTCTGCGGGCATGTGTTGAACAGTGGCCAGCCCCTTCATCAGCCCTCCAAACCCGCCAACCCAAGCTAAACCTAAGCAAGGGCCAAGCGTCTCACCCCAGCTGTTGCGGACAATCCTAGGCAAAGCCGGTGGAGCAAAGGGGTAAGGTTCAGGGCCTCAGTTTAAGTATGGTTTAGGGCTTTGCGCCCAGAGGGCCTAGGGATTTTGGGTATTGCGGTTCAGGGTTTGGGTGTTTAGCAGCTTAGTATTCGAGCTTTTGACTTCGGCGCCTTTCTCTGAAAACTCCGGATTAGCAGTTTTCGGTTCATCAAAGCTCTCAACAGCTCCCAGCCCATCATCTCGAGAACCCTCTGTAAACCATCCAGGATCCCCCGAGGCAGCATTCGCAAAGGCCTCGCTGAGTTCTTTTCGGTTTTGGCAAAGGCTGGTTGAGAGTCTACGTATCCCCCTAAACGTTATAAGCCTTATAAAGCCCTAAATCTTCTACGCCCTAATACTTCTAAAACCCCACTAAAAATACTGAACCCGACATCCTAAACTCGAATCTTTAAAGGGTTCAGGCTAGGATCAGCTGCAACTTCCAGCAGCCTCGTTTGAAGAGCCCCAAAACCGAAAGGTCGAACAATCCTCATCCCCCAGTGCCCTCAACCCTGAAGCGAGACTCCCACCTTTACACCAAGCCTCTCGGCAGTTTGGGTGCAGGCTTCTACAGAACTTGGGGTTTAGGATTTGATTGCTTCAGGGCAGGGTCTGCGACTCTAACAGCAGGAGAGGGGGGGGTTGAACTCTTGGCGGTTGTGACAGATGACACTGTCAAACTTCAACAGGTTTTGAACAGGTTTTCCATGCGGACACTTGCCGATAGTGATATACGGACTAACAAGAACAATGACAAAAGAAAAGCAAGATTCCAGTAGAGACCTTCCTCTGGATCAGTGCCCCATCCGACCACGGACACGACGTGGTCTTGCATCAGCGACCAGCCCCGAATCACCCCGGTGGTGTACTTCAGCCTGGGCGCGTCAGGGATGATCGCGGTTAATTCTCCTAGTTATAGAGCATTACAGGGTCAGCACAGGGGTTCCAAAGGTTCCGTAAGCATTACGATCGGGGCTTCTACAGATGTGGAAGCGACGACGACTGTTGTGGACAATGAGACTTAATGGTGGCTGTGATGAAGACAACGGGGACCCTGGCAACTATGATGATGGCGGTGATCCAATCGCAATGATCGCAGCGATTCTCAAGGTCATGATAGCCGATAGCGTTCACCACCATCATCATGGCCAGTGTCAACTACCACGATTGTCATTGCCATCATCACCTGACAGCTCCAAATTGGGGCTTGCCCTGCGGGAGATCCCGCATAAGGCTAGGGGCATAAGGTTGAAGAGAGTGCTGGGAGCTAGGAGACTTTTCTGCGCGGTTTGGGGCTGCTTGGCCGCATTCCTTACGGTTCCCGGTAAAAATAGTAAAAAAATCCCCCAAACGCCCAATCCCAGCCATTAAGGCCCCTATATCAGAGAACCGTTGTGGAACCCTTGTAGAAAGAACCCCTTCAAGAAGAAGCCTTCGAGATAATTATCAAGGCCCAGCAACAACGGATTGGCGTCAATGCCGCAGGAGATTGGCCCTCTGTTGTAGATCTCTTTCATCATGGCATTCTGGGCCAGGGCTGTCAGTAGGGTTCTAGGGCTTCGTGTTCAGGGTTCATCTGCACCCGATGGATTCCGATCATCGGGCTTTAAAGTTCTCTTTTGAGGACCTCAATGGCTTTATAAAACTTTATAAGGTTTAGGGTTCTGGGCTGAAGAATTCCTGAGGCGGGTTGGCCCGGTCAAGTCGACAAGATGCACCCGAGTTACTAGGATCCTTTCTGCAAGCACCCCTTGACAGTACATATTCAGGAGCCTTAAGGTACACAAACAGTTATTCACGTTTTGTATCACAAACTAATTATCACCAGTATATCAGTATATATTCTAAATTCTTAAAATTTGAATATTGAAATTGTGAAAGGCCACCTTGCCCATGATCGATCCATAGTCCGAAATGGTGGCGTTGGGATATTCGCTCAGTCCAACGCAGGGCTCCCCGAAGGTGCTGCAAGTACGGGCGATGTTCTCGGCTTTGCAGCTCGTGTCCGCATTCTTGCAGATGCCATCGCCTTGACTGCAAGCTCATATCAGACTACAAGCCCGAAAGCAACCGCAATCTCATCCATAATGTGTCCAAGACAGCACGCAACCGCACACAGAACGACCAGCATGGCACTTTTGCAAAAAAATGCAAGCGACGCCTGAAAGCAAGAGCTAGCTCCTGAATCTGAAGATTTCAGCAGTCTTGAGGATTACTAGGCTACTAGGGCTAGGTCCCGTGGCAGGACTACGCCCCGGCCATGAACACCAAATCCCACATCCCAAGCCAGACTGTCAATCCTAAAAAATCCTAAGTCCTGACTCCTCGGCCTCCGAAAAATTAAAAATGCTCTAAGCCGAAAGGCCCCGAAGTAGCCTAAAGTCCCTGCCATCTTTACAAGACGAGGCTCGGCTTTCACTGGAGCATGCCAAGTATGGCCTTAGCACACTCTTGGCTAAGGGATCTTCATAGTCTTAGGGGCTGAGTACCCTAGCCCCAAAAAGGTTAACCTTTCAAATTATGGTAGGGTTATATAAGCCCCAAAAGGTTAAAGGTTACCTACTCAGCTACTAAGTAGTTGTGATGGGAACAGATCGCATGACTACCACTGCTGCTCTGGTACGGCTACTGCTGTCAACAAGACGCTGCCGAATCCTCCGGCCCTGGTCCTCCTCGTGTGCTACTACATACCAGTCTTTCGACGACGACTGCCACGACCACGTACGGCTACGACTGCGACGAGGACGACGACTACCAGTATCATCGCTTCTACTGCTACTGCTATTGCTGCTGCTGCTGCTCCTAGACCATCTCCAGCTCCTGCTCTTTCTGCTCCTGCTACAGCTACGGTTACTGCACTAGTACTACTGTCACCAATTTTACTACACAATAGAAACACTGGTACTAGTACCATAGTAGTAATAGTACTAACTAGTCGCCAAGTGTTCACAGTCAGGGCCAATCCTACTATGTAAACCCTGCGCTGGCTGCATATGCTTGATCCGATGATGCTCATCAATGCCAAGTCTTCCCTGAAGGACCGAAAAACCTCAAACTCGCTTCAAACATGTTTAACAGACCCTTTCGATGTGAATGCGGATGATGATGGATTTCATCATTTCGCGGTGTAGTGCTATTATTTCTTCACCTCCCGCATTACACATCTTCCACACTGTCAAAGCCGGGTTGCTGGGAGGTAAAGTAGGAGATGCCGCTGCCAGTGCGCTTGCCCAGCCTGGCAACTCAAATTCGAGAAGCTTTACCTCCCGCCAAGCCTGAACCTCTCAAGGGGCAAAACAACATCTAAAAATCACCCTAAACACTATGAATAAATATGATCTACACCCCCTAAGCCCTAACCCAAACGGACCTGAAACCCTGCCCCCCGACCGAAACGGTCCGAGCGCAACCTCGATACTGCACGCTTTGCAGATATGCCACGGAGAAGGAGCTGGAAACTTGCAGAAAAGGGGTCTTGGTGCCTGCAACAAGGTCTTGGTATACGTTATAGTAGTGTACTTAAGCTAGTAAGCAGCTATACTAGTACTATACCCTAAATTGCTAGAGCCCTAAGTCGATGACCAAGGGGCTTGTAGATCCACTGGTAGGGGCCGTCCACGGTGCCACCGTGGCCTGGCATTTGTCGATACCGGATATGCTGGGCTTTCAGGACCCAATGGAGGGGGCCTTAATGATTTAGAATCGGGTTTGGGGATATGTTTAGAATACAGCTTAAACCCTAAACCCTAAACCGTCATAGCAGCCAAAATTTTAAGGCTCAAGAGGATCAATGACTAGTCTTTAGACAGGATCACGGTAGAAAGCTTGGAATGTTCTGGACATATGGTGCAGTTTCAAGCTGTCTGCTCTGATGGAAACCCCCCCCCCCCAGGCACCCAATGCGATGGCCCAGGGAATGAGACATGAGACATTATAGGGTTTTTTTTAAAGTGCACTGGTTCTTTCTTTCCGGTTTAGGGTTTAGGGTTTATTGCTTCAAAAAAGTGGCCGTCCCAGGAGAACCGGGTTACAGGAAATGTTGTGCTCTCTTATATGCTCGCGGCTACAGAGGTGGTGTCTCTGCCTGGCTGACACGGCACCGTGAAGTAGAAAAGGGTACTTTTCTTTTCGGGTTCTATAAAAGGGTCCCTGTAACGGGTACTACTGTAGAGGGTTCTGTATTGGGGTCCCTTAAAGGGGTACTACTGTATAGGGTTCTATACTGGGGTCCCTTTAAAGGCCACTACAGGGTTCTATAATAGCAATGAAAATCTCGGAGCTTAAGTCACAAACCACCAAGCGATGCAAGGCGGACAAGACCCGACATTCCCACAGTTCAGCATGTGCTGCACGGAAAGCTGGACATCCGCGCCCTTTGCCCCACGGGCAATCCTGAAATCTTCCAAAGTTTTCTTGAATTGAGATTTGGAGTCACATGTGTTTCGAGGAGGGGTAAGCTGGTCTCTCCACCATCCTTGAGACCTTTGTTGGATCTAGGTTCTTACAGTAAGCTTGCTGTTCTCTGATCCTGCCTTAAGTTTGGCAGCGGGGGTTCGAAACCGAAATCCTCAACCCTGCACAGAAAAGTAGCATACGTGCACACGCACACAAGGCTGGAGATCGACAAAAGGCCATGCAATAAACTCTGAAACCTAGGAACATCGAGATGCCGTCAGAAGTTCCTCAGCACGTCTGCATCAGAAGTATGTTAAGCTTTACTGTCGGGTTTTGGGGTCAATCTGCATCGCAAGTTGAGGGCGGCTCTGCTACGGGCAACAGGTATGTTACATGTAAAAATATTGGATTCCCATACCCAGTCCCGTAAGAATGCACCGGAATCTTGGAGACATGAACAACAAAGCCGAAACCCATCACACAACCCTAAATCCTAAACCTTAAAGTCTAAACCTAAACCCGTCTGAGAGTCTTGATGCGATCCGCTAGGGCAGATGTTGCGCCGTGAGCCCAGCAGGAACCACAGTACCTCTTGAGATTTTTACAATAACGCAGACTGTGAAGGCTACTATCGGGATTACTACGGTGGGGTCATTATGTCTTCGATTGTCATCGGGTCTCTTTCGGGTGGGGAATTTCGGAGCCCATACCACGAACTGCGTTGTGAAGGCCCAGTAGAAGCGATCTTGTCTCCAGGACCTTGGGAACCTCTGTTTGATACGTTGACCTTGCTACCTAGAGGCCGCCTTTCACGAACCAATGAGGAACATGTTGCTGCGTGGGCAGCGACCGGGTGTAGTTCCCCAGAACAGGTCACGGTGAACGGCATGCGCTCACTGCTCTGACAAGTTGCTCAATCTGTCTTGCGAGACCATTCTTCCAGAGGTGGGCACGGAAAGCACGATGGAGGTTGAAGCTTCATAGCTTGAATCCGTTTGTTTCTTATGTGCTCTAAGCCTGAAGCCCGGGCTACAGAATCCCGTCCGAGCACTGTGGGATGTGCTGATTCAGCGAGATGGTGCAGTAGTTCACGCCGTCCTCCGACCCATTCGGGCATAGCGTGTTAGAAGGAAGCCTTTCGACCCTGAACTCGACACTTGCACCCCGCAATTCCCGAAAACCATACGTAGAACAGGGTGTTCAGGTACTGTGATAGGACAATACAAATATAACTGTAGTACGGAATATTATCGTTACTGATTCTTCCGACCTCTAAATTAGACCCAGAACCTAGACTTAGACCAGAGACCAGAAAGCCTGCTAAGCCGTCAACCCTAACATCTAGAGTTTGGCTTCAAGGCCCAGTGTCCGCCCTTAGGCTTCCGAGGACCTCATAGGCCCTACTACAGCGTTGGGTGAGCATGCATGTCTGCTTCTGTGGTAGGCATGAAGGCATGGAACCTCTACATGGTTTTCGGCTTTAGCAAGCATGGGAAGAACCGCCCAAACCAAGTAGCTATTACATACTGCATGCTTGAACGGCCAACACGTGGAGGTGTTTTTTGTCGGTTCATCAAGTACCGGCCGCAGACCCTATAGGACCTGTGCGAATTTCAGACAGCAAAAGCTGCACATGGGCTGCTACTGGAAGGGCTGAGGAAGATGATACGCACCGCATCAGCCCTTGAACTTTACTGACGAGCAGACCCCACTTCTTCCGCTTCAGCCCTTTGTGAACTGCCACATGCCTTGTTGCACCAGGTGAAGTCCGAAGGGAAGCCCCCATCCGGTGACGGCAAGTCTTCGTGCGAAGACCTGACAGCTTCGACTATACAAGACACCACTACTGCATAAGAACAGAAGGCTCGTCAAACCAGTTCTGAATGATGATGATGATGGTGATGCAGGAGCTGCTGCTGGTGGTGGCTTTGCTGCTGCTGCTGCTGCTGTCGTGGGTGTTTCTCACGTGGATGCTGGAATTAGCCGACCATGATTGCCTCATTCCCCAACTACCAATCTGCTGCCCGCGTTTTCGTCAGCAGTGTTCAGACCGGGTGGTACGGGCCAAACCCAACAATGTGCCAGCGGCAGGCTTTCAGGGTGGCAGATTCTAAGATTACCGCGTGTAGCCGTGCAGTCGAATGGCTTACGGCTTCCGCACCCATAAATGTCGTGCCTGCGGGTTAAGTTCCGCATCAAAAAACGGAGTGTCAATAAGCATTGACGACCAGAGCACAGCCAAAGCCGTGGATGCCACTGCTGTACATACACACATAAACTTGATTCGGGCACTTTGAACCCAATAACCCATTTGGCAAGTCGCTGAATCCCAACGAATAGGGCCTTACCGCCCTAACCGTCGTAAAATGTTCAAAAAAATCATCACCCTTCCCGCCTCCTCCACACCTGATTCCAATTATTGAAGATCCTAAAACCCAGAAATTTGAGTACCCCATCCTTGGAACCTTTCCAAAGGCCTGGCAGTAGCGTTGCCACCGACCACCACGCCGAGAGCTTCGGCCTGCCCGGTGGATTTTTCGGCTCCCCTTTTTGGCGCCCGCCCTAAACCCGAAACCCTAACAGGGCTTTATTTTTTTCCCACCTGCTAGGGCTTTAGGGTTTAGGGTTTAGGGTAACTAAACCCCAAGCCCTAAACCCTGAACCTTTAAACCCTGCTGGAGAATATTGCTGCAAGAGGCAGTTGAGGATGTTGGTGGCATGAAGCTTCGGACGTTTGCTTCACAAATAGAGGGTGAGCTGCAGTAGCTGTTGTATGTTGTTGTTGCACTAAGAGCTTTGAGTGATTCGTCTTTGAACGTCTTGAGGCGCTCCGTCCCGGATGCCTCCGGTACACCTCCAGGAATATCAACTAGAAATGCGAAGGAAACGGATTCGGATCAAGCTCTTCAACTACCCAACGAAGGCTGCCGCAATTCAGGCTGTGGTTGAAGCAATCTCTCAACAAGCTAGGTTGCATAGTTCTTGGGTATTCAGATGATCGTTGACACTGAACTCACAAATCTAAAACCCAGGTCGGGAAAACCTGCACTTGCTACATCGCATAACTTAGTTGCTGTTACTGGACAGAACCCTGTATTGCAGTACCCCGAAAGACCCCAAACAGAAGACTTGCCTATGAGAATAACTCGACTGCTTGTGGGAAATTTAGGATTTCCGTCCACATTTTCCTCCCGATAACATGTCGGCCTCCTCCCGCGACAGCAACTCGCTCCGATGCTCCGCCCTTGCAGCTGCAAGGAATGCCGCCTCTTGTGCGTGATCGGCTCTCAGAAGTGCAGGTTCTCAAGGGACACGGTTGGTTCGTCAACATCTCTTCGGGTTTGCGGTGTGCAACCTTGGGTCTTGAACCCGACCGTCTATTTAAATGACTCTGACACGAGGCTGAGCCCCGCACAAGCAGAACGCAGCGCATGGCGTGCTGTATCAGAGCAACTGCAAGCTACGATGGATCCTCTTTGAACCTGGTAGCAGCGGAAGCGTGCATCTCAACGCCCCAGCCCTCGGGCCTAAAGTAACAAACGTGGACCGCCGGAGCCCCAAAAACCTCAGCTTCAAGTGTGTATCCGGACGTAAGCCGCGTGATCAGACCATGCCACCACTTCAAACCTTCTACTCCGGAGCATCTGACTACATCGTGACGGCATTTCGTGAGCACCATCGGTAAGATGCTGTTACTCACAATTCATAGGTTCGGGCGTCTGGATCTGCTATTCTATCATCATGTAAGAGGGCCATATACGACAAAACTGCAATGTGGAGCAATGCTACCAGGACCACGGAAAAGCTCGGTTAGGGCATTTTGGGGACTCAGATTGCTTCGGGGTTTAGGGCTGAAGGCTCCGAGGTGTGGTGGGATCATGGAACCGTTATCGTCAGCTGCAGGAGCCGAAGAAGAACTACGGCCTTTCAGGACAGAGGCTGAACCCGAAAGCCTTCTAGAATAGGGGCTGCAATGGAGGTGTCTGGCAAAGTAAGCCAGAAGACTTCCATGCTAGCCCAAACTTCGGGGTTGTTGAGGACTTCCGGAGCACCCGCCCAGAAGACGAGGAGCTTCCAGATGCTAGTTGCAACAACCCACACCCTGAAAGCCCTCTAGCAACTACACCCGAAAGGGCGCTAAGCCACGGGCCTTCCTCTCGCTTGAACCCCGAACCTTACTCAATCCTGAACCTCGCTGAAGGCTGAACCCGGCCCCAGACTAACTCCTAAACCCAATGCTCCAAAGCCACAAACCTTAACCCAACCTGAAACCCTGAAAGCCGTATAAAGCTCTAACCCTGCCCTCCTCGATGAAGTATCGCAGGTTGAAGAAGAGCGCTCCGCCGTTAAAAGCTACGGTTTGCGTGTCCTTCCAGCGCGGATTTCGGATCGACTCGGGTTGAGCACCCTTTCCGACTCAGGTGGGGCCTTCGTACTGAGCCTGAGCAAGCAAAATAGGTGCAGAGGTACATTATACTGATACTGGGACTATGAGGGGATACTGTTACTCATTCTTGCACAGAACCCAAGGAGCCCCGGCGCGCGAGCTTCGGAGCACATAAAAGGGGTCGTGTCCTCCTCGAAGATGTGAACCCTCTCGTGGCCTCAGCTTAAGATTTTGGAAGCCCTAAACCCTGAACTCAAAACCCTAAACCAAGTTTCGGCGGCTTCAACTGACGGCGCAGTCTCTGCTGAGTTGAGGGCAAGGGACGGAGAACAGCTCCGAGATCGCCTGGAACAGGCAGCCAGGTCAGGTTTAGGGTTTAGGGGTTTAGGGGTTTGGGGTTTAGGATTTAAGGGTTTAGGGTTTGGGGATTAAGGGGTTTTGGGATTTGGGGTTTGGGGGTTTAGGGGTTTTTTAGGATTTCGGGTTTAAGGTTTCAGGGTCTAGGGGTTTGGGGTTTGGGGTGGCCAGCTGATTTATAGCTTCGGAGTTTGGGGTCCTAGG